AGCATCTCGTAAACAGGACTCATCCTGCACTTATGATACACAAGACCTGGAGAGAACTCTCCCAGGAAAAGTCTTCAGACAACCACTTCAACTCAAGACTGTGGTTCAGTCTGTTGCCTGTCAATGACCTGCTCACGATGAACCATAACATAGACACTAAATTTACGTGGACCACTGTTCACACTTGTGACTATCACTTGAGAGTCAGTAGTCATTTTACTGACATGTTACAGTCACTTGATAGTAACTTGATGATCAGCAGTGAACAATCCCAATAAAGCGTAACCACTTTGGAACTACGATGTGTAAAATCGTAAAATTGCTACACACATTTTTTTTCTCCTTGTTCCTACAGTTAGATGTTTGATTTTCACTGTGCACAATGATTTATGTGCAGTTTGACACCAGAGGGATGTTTTCACATTCATGCTCATTGGAAATCAGATGTTAAGGGGCGTGGCCTATGAGGATGATTTGTGACGTCACAAATAATTTGGAAGTTAATCCTGGTCCAGTATGAAATTTATACAAGTGTGTTTAATAAAAGTATTTTTTTATATAAAAACATATCAGACACACATTGTTCCAAGCAGATTATTTGTATCTACAATGTCTTAATACATGTCTGGAGGGGGTCTTTAAGAATACTGTTCAGTTTTGATAGCACTGAAGCTATCATTCTATCCTTAGCTGTACTCCCCAAGCACCTCTCACTTCATGTATTACTTCCTTGGCCTCCTCCACCAAGATTAGCACCTCTCAATGTCTGTAACCTTGGTCAAGAGTACTTCATTACTCTCTAATGTTTTAGAGTTAATAACTGTCCCTGTCTAAGTTTGGTGCGAGTTCTTGTCTCAGGGGGGAGATCTTCTGCAGTGTTAACACAGTGTAACACAGAGAAGAGTACAGATGTAAATGTCAGAATGCAGAGCTAATACCTCTGTGCTGAGCTGCAAACAGGCCAGAGACACAACCGCTGCATCTGGTAAATAAGAAGGCCAACAGCGGTAACACCACAAGTATGCTTAATGATGGATTTGATCAGGCTGTGGAGTTGCCCCAAGGCTGGATTGGAGAAGTGGTTGGGTGGGTTAGGGGATGGGGGTAGGGGGTGCATATTAAAGAGTAATGAATCACACACTCAGTCACAGGGTCGCCGGCTATGAATGTGCTCTCTGTTGGTTTTCCTGGAGCCTGGAGTTTACTAACTGATGACGCAGGCTGGACTTGATCAGAGACATGTGTTGCTGCGGACTCGATGCCAGTGAGAAGCATAGCGAGAGAGAGGAGAAGGGGGAGAGGTAGGAGGATGGATGGCGCCTGAGCTCTGCTTTTCCTCTGTGTCCTTCTGGGCATTGCCTCACACTGGTGGGATTGGAGAGGAGAGGGAGGGAGGGAGAAAATAAACCTGACTTCTACCCTGGGACAGGAAACAAGAGATTCTCAGAGTATCCTGACCCAGCTTTCTTAACTATCATTACTCCTAAATACTTGTGTGGCATCTCAGCGAGCTGTGGAGCAGCGCATCTGCTGAACACAAAAGCAAACAAAACAGATTTTTTTCTGACCTTAAAAGAATGAAAAATACAATCATAATTCTAATGTGAGTCTTCTTAACCAAACAAGATAAGAGCCTACAGCCATGTTAGCAGCTCTGTGAGCCTGTACGCACGGTAGTGAGCTAAATGCTAAAAATGTTAGCATGCTAACATAATCACAATGACAAAGCTAACATGGGTCAAAATTTGTGTCCGTCTCAGGCTTAAACATCACTGATAAAATATTTCTGCAGCTACAAAAAGGTTTCTACAGATGTGCAAATTTCTACAGATGTGCAAAATATTTCTACAGCTACAAAGCTTCATTTCACATTCACAAACCTGAATTTATTTTTCAGATATTGTGTTTTTTCACACGCACACAATAGATCATATACAACTGCAGCCTGTAAAATTATGTTAACATCATTTCACAAGTTCAAAATATTAATTAATG